GTGCTCTTTGTGTCTTTATTTCTGCTTCTCAGCCAGTTATCCAGTGCTTTTTGTACTATTCCATCAACCTTTCCTAGGAAATCACGTGTTTGACACTTAGCTTGTGAACTGACTCTTCCTTGAAAAGCCTGATTGCTTGCAGGACACTAAACCTCACTCCTTTAGATCCCTTTCTACCATTCTAGTTATAAAAAGCCACTGCCATGTTTGGCAGTTTTCAAATGCTGGGGAGTGAAATAAATCTCTCAGAATTTGGGGGTCTCCAACCTGATATATATAGCTTGTATTTCTTGTACTTTATTCTTCTATTTCTTGTCCTTTCGGGGGCTTCAACAAAGCCTGGTGTAATCAGCAGGAATTTTGACAACCATCTCAGCTGTGTACCGGGTAAGACCTCATGCCTTGGATGAGAATTTGAGAGGCCCCTGCAGTTTACAAGTTACAACCAGGGACTGACACACCCTTATTAAAATATGGAGGGGCTCTGTGTTTTACAGAAATATTGAAAAGGGGAGAAAAACTCTCTTTTCAAGCAATTTTTCCACATGCACACATATATTCACACACTGGTATTTTGGCAAACCAATCTACTATACCACGTCAGTGAGTTAATGACAGGCTGGTGAAATGAGTGTTCACAGCTTTAAATCAGTCTTTTCTTTAGCAGCATTTAAATAACTTCATTTTTGTTCAAGGTAATCTTGACTATAAAACTATAGGCCTGCAGAAAACCCATATATTAATTGCAAAAGCTGGGTCTGCTGTGGTTTTCCACACTGCTAATCATATATGGCATCCCAGATGAGTAGCAGATCTGATTTTATAGTCATGTTGTGTCAGGAGTTTAGACTGAGTATTACTTGTAATTCTGTCATTTATCTCTACTGTTTCTTTATTAATGTCTTCAGCGTTCTTGGTCTGTCCTCAATCTTTCACATTTTGGACTGATACTTTATTACAGTGTTTTCCAAATTTTTTAAGTAAAAATCTTTCAAGATGAACAGCAGTCCTTCCTTGGGAGCTGACTGAAAGCCAAATGATCTTTATTCATATAGCTATTGCCTTACACATCCCCTCTTTGGAAATCACTGTTCCATTATGTGCTATTGCTTCTTGTCCCTACACGCCTTGATGAGCAGTAAAATACAGTGTTGACATTTAAAATATTGTCACTGGCATGGCTGATGTGTGAGTGAGTGAGTGAGGGAGTTTTCTCCACAATGGTGATTTTTCTGGGGCTCTTTGCAAATTCCAGCTCTAGTGATGGTTTTTTTTTTGTATCAGTTACACTTGCAGTGTATTTTTGAGGTGCATTTTTGAGCTTTGCTTTGCAAACATAAATGGAACTGTTCTTCTCATTGTAGTTGCTCTCAGCCATGTCCATCCCATGCCATGTCCTCCAGCTGTCCCAAGAGGTTTGTGCAGCACACTGGATATAACACTTTACTGCATCACAGCAGTTAAATATGAAAAAAAAATCACTCAGAGCTTGCACGGCCTTTACCCACCACGCACAAACTCTCACCTAGGGTGTATTATAAACTTGGATAAGCTGTCAGTATTTGAGGTTCACAGTTTGTCACTTCATTGTTATTTTCATTGCTGTGTCTTTGATCTCACAAATGCTCTGCCCTGGTCAAGGCATCTGTTGACACAGTCCCCCTGGCCCACGTGGGCCTCTGAGCTCGTTAAGGGGCAAAAGAAGGTTCATGAGAGCAGAGCTTCAGAAAACACCATGGATGCCAAATAACAGCACTCCTAAAGCTGTTCTGTGTCATACTGTGGGCCTCTGCTTCAGATCTGAGCTCTCTCAGATTGCTGTCCACAACATTCTTTCATCAGTGTGGCTGTGGCAATACAGAAATATTAGCAGTACTTATTGTTGTGTTGATGTAGAGGAATCCATCCTGTGTAGAAACTGATTTATGAGCAGAAAATTGATGGGCCCTTTGCCCTGAGCTTACTGTCTGAATGTCTGGAGTACACAGAAGGTAAGTGGATATTGAGAGATTTGGAAGCTGAGAGAAATGAGGTTATGAGTGAAGAAGATACAGCTTTACCAGCTGAAGATTGCTGGTGCCTTTAGGTAGGTTCCCCATCTGAAATGTGCTGCAGCTCCTCCAGCTTGGTCAGAAATCCCTTGTTGTTTCTGATGTGTCTTTTCTGGCAGTCGAGGGGCTGGCACAGAAAATCCTGGCTTGTTCTTCAGGTCACTTTGTCCAGTGGCTGTGCTGGAAAGCCCCAGCTGTGCAGTGCTAGGTTCTGTTCACACATCAGCCCGGGACAGTCACAGCCTCAGAAAGCACAGTGCAGATCACCAAATACACACTGTTTTAAAGAGCATGGCTGCTGTTCATGTGAAACCTGATAGCAAAATATGCTCAATCTCAAATCCCCAGCAGGCTCTGAACACTCTGTTCTAGCCAGTCCCATTAGAGCATGAGAGGTTGACATTGTTTTCCCTTCTACTCCATGTAATAAGGGAATTTCTGTTACTGATACTTATCAAGAGAGACTTCTACAGTAAAAGTTAAGGACAGTTCAAAGCATATCAGGAAGCAATATCTGGAGTTTTTATATGGTTTACAAATGGCATTTCCAATTCTTAATCTATAGCAGGTCCCTTACTCCAAACTGGCATAGTTTTAATAAGAACTCTCCGTATGTCCTTGACTTGTCATTTGTTAGAAAACTGAAAATCTTAATGGTTCACATTGGAGAAATAAAGGTCAAGATACAGACAAAGTTCCTCTGTATTACAGAAGATAATAAAAGGGGAATATATTTGCTCCTGGTTATGCTAATTCATCACTCCAAGCACGGTGTGATTGCATTCTGTCTAGTCAGTGCTCTTCTTCATATCTTAAAGAAGAGATATAGCCAAAGTAAAGGGCACTTGGAGATAGACAGGGAAACTAATTGAGTCACAGAGAGTCTTCTGTTTGAGGAAGGATGGGAAGGATAGGGATTGTTTTAATTTAAAGAAGAGACAAATAAAAGAGAACGTGACAGTAGTGTACAGAATGATGAATGATACAGAGAAGGTGAAACTGGGCAGTCTTGCTTGCCCTTTTGTAAGTACAGAAGCAGAGGGACATCCAATAAACCAGAAAGGCAAAAGTAATAACACTGTTGAAAGGGCATTTTTAAACAGTAACTATCTTGTTTCTAATGGCTCATCTTCTTTCTCTCTGATTCTAGAGCATGTCTTGAGGGGCATGCAAGGACCTCTAGGAGATGAATTCAAGTTGTCTTGCTAAGCAGTTGTTGTGGTCATGCTGCAAAAGCTGCTGGTTGGATCAGATTATTTGGCTTGTGTGAGGGGGAACAACTTGTCAAATAGTCTTAAAGAACCTTTTTAGTCTCAAAAATAAGTGGAAGTTTAGGTAAAGACATTGATGTATGTAATGATACTATCCATGCATTTGCTAAATAGAGTAAAAAAGTAACTCTTCAAGACAGAAATCTACTACTGATGGAAGGAATATTCCTCTGCAGTTAACCCCCATGTCATTTCTTTGCTGGTCTCCCTGAATATCTGCTCATGACACTTATAAAATGCTGATGTTGTGCCACATTGGCTTGGGCTGTGCTGTCAGGACCAAACAGACTTCTGTCCGCAAGGAAGTTACTGGAAGCACATTTATTCTTCCTGAATATCTCTTTCTGATATTCTCTTACTTTTGCACATTCCATTTTTTATTCATCTTTATTTAATAAATTTGTATTGAGATCCAGAAGAAAATTTATTTTGATCAGTAGATTCTAGGGAACTTAAATAAATGGACTAAAATTTATATGCACCTCTCTCCTGCCTTTTTGTTAAAAAAAAAAACAAACAAAAAACCCCAAAAAAACGGAGATAATGAGACATGCAAATTTCAGATGAGAGAGATCATGTGCTGGTTAGATTATTACAGTATCTGTTTGGATCCATTGTTACTTTCAAACTTAATTCCTGTCAGGCTTTTTGTAGCTGTGCAATTATTTTATAATTCCTCAGCAGGCTGTGCTATTTCATGTAGCACAATCCCAGCCCACCTGTGGTGATCATCACTTCAAAGCCCCGGTTCCTATGGTCATTTTGAGTGTGTGCCTGCCTCATTTCTAATGGTCTGTTGTGGTAATGTCAGCTGTGATGCTTCAGCCCTGGATCACATCTCTGAGGTGGCTTTTTCTCTCTTTCCTGCTGCAGTTTTTCCCATCTTAAAACAGGTGAAACGCCTCAGCTATTCTGGATGGAATGTACTTGCTATGATGTAGGGAAAATTGAATTTTTAGTAATTTCCTTATGTCTCATAATTAGGTCTTTCTTTCTCACTCATCTACCAGACATCATGAATGCATTTGCCAACACCTTTCTTTTTAAACTTTGTACAGCAATGGAGCATTTAAAACATCTACTACTCAACATATTGCAGATGTGTTTTATCAATCATGTGAAGTGTATAATTTGTAAAAGTTTATAGGAGATACATATTTGTGTGTATGTGTGTATGTATCTATTTGCTGTATATGTAAACTGTACAGTTAAGGATATATTTGCCTGGCGCTACAGTCCAGCTCCCTCAGAAATAGTTACAGCCCTGGAATACCAACCTACAACCTAGTTTAGCCATTTGAAGTCACTGAGAAAAATTAATTGTAAATGTAATTTAGTATTCAGAGGTATGCTAATTTTATGTCCAAACCCCAGTGAAAAGAACCATTCAGTCTAATTTTTTGGCATTTGTCAAAAGCCTTCCAAAAACCATCCAGGCTGCAGACTAAGCTGCCTTTCATAAATCTCAACTGAGGACTTTCTGCTGACTTCTTAAGACTAAATTATTTCTATTGTTCTCGAGTAATTACATTTTTGTTGTTATCTGTGGAAAGAGCCCCACTGGGTTGAGCATGTAAGTATATGGGAATGGGGGGAAGGAGGATTTGTGTTAGTTAAGTGGAGATGATAAAGCTGAAAACATAGCAGGACATAAATCAGATTTTTCTTCTTTTTCTAGTTGGCTTGTCACAATAAAACATTGCAACAGATGCTGAAGCCAGGGTCAGATCCAGATGAAGGAGATGAAGCCTTGAGGTTTTATGCCAAACATACGGCACAGATAGAGGTAAAGGATTGCTCTCCAGAAGATGGACTGTGAGACAAGTCTGCATCTTATGTGGGGTGTATCTCCTCTTTTTAAGCTTCCAAACGGTGTGGGTTATTTTTGAGGAGAAGGTTGAATAATATGCTTTTGGCTGTGGAAGATAAAGGAATGCACCTGTATTAGAAGTGGCTGCAAACCATCATTTCACAGTAGGTTTCCTGTGTGTTACCAAACATGTTTTATTAGGGAAATAATGACTGTGTACAGGAGCTGTGTCGTGAAGTCAAGAATTGTCCTGTACAGTACATCACTCAAATAAATAATCATGAGTTTCAAAGCCACTGATTCTGACTGGTCAGATTAAAACTCTGGCTGGAGTACAAACAGGTTTTGAAGTGGTGTAGACATTCAATATGGCTTTTTTTTTTAAATACCAAGGCTTGGCCTGGTTCAGCAGTTCTGTTCTCTATCTTAAACTTTACACCTGCCATGGGTTGGACTTAGATAGAGGTCCACAGACGTATCCCACCACAGGATAGGTGGAAGATCCATGGCCTTGGTTGTCCAGAGGGCAGCTCAGTGCTTCTCTTAATGTATTTTAATACTTTGGCTGCTGCTGAGATCTCTCTTAGCAATTATCAGCCAGTTTATCTGGGTAGCTTGTAAATTTAGGCATTAAACAAGCACTGTGGTCAACTTTTATGTGGCCAATAGCTTCTTCTAGAAAAGTGAAACTCAAACCAGCATTACTGCTATACAAAATAGATAACTGCTTGTCTTGGAAAGCAGTCCTAGACCTGTTTGGTGTTTCAGATATTATCTCCCCTATATTAATGTATCTCATTTGTTTGTTTTGAAATTCAAATAGTGGTGTTTTTTATTTTCACCAGTGGCTGCACAGAGGCATGGTTGTAGAAGTCTAAAAGGGTTTTCTACCCATTTCTGTATTTTTAGTACTGCAGAGTCAACGATCAGAATGGGGAAGCAATTTTGATGACAATGTGGTGAGATGAAATAAAATCTAGCTCACTCACCAGTAGCTTGGTCGGTGCTGAAATGCAAACAATTCAAAACCTTGGGTTTTGTCAAGTAAAAAGATAAAGACTGACAAGATATGGGTGCTGCCTGGGTGATATTTTTGCATGTTCACCTTTACAATTTATCCCATCACAGAAATAGATTCAAGATGAGAAAAGCATTTTGTAATCAGAGCAGAAAGCCCCTGAAATTCTTCACTTTTTACTGGCTCAGATTTGTTTCAATTTGCTGACAAATTGAAGCATTCTGAATTACAACATTTTTTATATTTGGCAAAGCCTGAACCTAGGTTTTTCTTGAGACTTATATTTGCCACCTTATTCAGGCAGGCTTTTGAAAATAAAAACAGCTTTACTCTGTTTTTGGATTGATAGGTCCAACTTTATTGTAATGTTCGAATAATTAATGCATTCATTTGTAAATAAAAGGGGAGCTGTGAACAAGAAAAGACATGACAAAATGATTGGATAGTCACTGACTGTGGCAAAAATGTGCATTTTATTTATAGATTGTTCGCCATGATAGAACAATGGAAAAGATTGTCTTTCCTGTCCCCAATATTTGTGAATTCCTCACTCGGGAATCCAAAAGTCGGGTGTTCAATACAACAGAGAGAGATGAACAAGGGAGCAAAGTCAATGACTTTTTCCAGCAGACTGAGGATCTGTACAACGAGATGAAATGGCAAAAGAAAATTAGAAGTAAGTACTGTAATTTGAAAAAAAATTAGCTTCATTATGCTAAAACCTTGCTTTTAAACCTTCAAATACTTGCATTTTAATGATATACTGTTCTCTGTTCAGTCTGACACTACAACAGGCAAAACTGTTCTGGGCTTGAGAGTGTAGGTCTGCTGAGACACTTGCATGCCACCATTAAAAAAGTGTAATATGGAGCAGTTATTAATGTGTTCAAGATGATGTTTTGGACTCCAAAAGTTAAACTGAGGGATGGAAGAACTGGGTGTAGTTCTACTAGTCTTGATAGTGTTGCACCTAATTAAACCAAGGCCCCTAATATTTAACAAAAACATGTGTAGTTGCATATTTGAGGTTTGCAGATTCCTGAAAGGCCATTAAAAGACTCATAAATGTCACTCACTTAAAAATGTCTCTCACCAGAACCTCAGCTGCTTTAAATCTGCCCAGCTCCCACGGAGTCAGTCCCCCTCTGCCAGTCCACATCAGCCTGGCATGACTGGGCTGCAGGGTGTCCCAGTTTGCCCATACTGGTGCATGGCCCATGGTACTGGGGAGGCACGTGTGTGGCCTTGAGCTGCTTGGTCAACATCATGGGGGAGAGGTCAAAGTAGGGCCACCAAGAGGAGGGGCAGGGAAGCCCCACCAGGTACCCTGAATGGCTTTAGCTCCCTGGTGGGCAGTACAGCTGCTGGCCCTTGGCAGGAACGGGGCTATTGCCAGTGTGCCTGCATCAGGAGGCTCCTGCCAGCTCAGCCACTGTCAACTCTGCCCTTGGCTTTTGGAGCAGAAGGTTGTATTTTATATATCATAGAATCACAGAATGGTTTGGGTTGGGAGGGACCTTAAAGATCACACAGTTCCACCCCCACTGCCATGGGCAGGGACATCTTCCACTATCCCATGTTGCTCCAAGCCCCATCCAGCCTGGCCTTGGACACTGCCAGGGACAGGCAGCCACAGCTTCTCTGGGCAAATTGTGCCAGTGTTGCCTCAGCACCCTCACAGGGAACAATTTCTTACTAATATCCAATCTAAACCTACCCTTAGTTTGAAGCCATTTCCCCTTGTCCTGTCACTCCAGGCCCTTCTAAAGAGTCTCTCTCCATCTTCCCTGAAGGCTCCCTTCAGGCACTGGAATGCTGCAATGAGGTCACCCCAAAGCCTTCTCTTTTCCATGCTGAACATACATAAAAATGGCTTAAAGTGATCCCTTCATTCACTGCTAAAATGCAGATGCTCTTGCAGTGTCACACATCATCTGCTCACAGCAACTGATCAGGAAGGAAGGAAGGAATAGGGTCTAGAGCAGCAGGATAGTATGAGCAATGTGGGAGCATCCTGAATGTGATGGATACATAGATGCTATTGCAATTTCTTATATGTCAGTTCTCAGGCTTTAATTTTCAGCAGCAGCAAGTCTTCAGCATAAACCCCATCAACCCAAATCTGCTTCTCTTGGTTGCATCCTAAAAACGTACTAGTGACAAACTGACCAGAATAGAAGTTGAAAAATACATGATTCCAGAATCTGCAGAATATTTGGGAATTAAAAGTCATTGTATTGTAGAAAAATTACTTCAGTAAAAAAAATCGTATCTGGGGGTTTTGCATTAGAAACACAAATAAAAGAGCCAACCCAACAATTAGATAGACCAGACCTACCTAATGCTATGAACAAATAAAATGGGTTGATTTTTATTCAGAGCAGAAATGTCTCAATTCCCTTCATCAGTGGAATAACTCACAAGTCTCCATGTTGGGGTTTTTTTATTATTTGAAAAGATAATTCAGGTTGAAGGTGGGTTCATTCTTTAGCCAAGTGTCTGTTAGCATGAAGTCTGTGCTGCTTAAATTGACAGGAGCCATTTTTGTAGTGGCTCCAAATGCTTAAATCTCAGCAGTCAGCAGCACAAGGTTATCACAGTGAAATCTGAATATTTACCTAATTGCTATTAAAGACTATAAAGCCTGAGGCAGCCACATGCACTTGAGGGAATCTGCTGTTTCTAAAAACTTCACTGGGTGCTCTGCATACTTGTAGGAAGTTCTCAGTACTCTAAAATCTAGTTAATAGGGATGTATCATGTGTGAAACCTCTCTAACCAGAGATGTTTCTACACCATTGCACATAGGATCTTGTTTCAAATGTTCATTTAAACATATTTTAGTGCGCTAATATATATTAAGTGCTTGCCTGAGTTTTAGCACACTGATCTTGTTCCTGACCTTCTTGCTGAACCATGTATATGGCTCTGGACCCAAATTCAACCCTGTTTTGCCCCTTTTTAGTCTTTTCTAGCGAGGCTATAGGATCTTTGGGATATAACAACTATTTCTGTGTGTTTGTACAACAGTTCACATACGGAGATCATGGCTTGTTTGAGTCCTTTTAAGCAGGAGTACAGAGCTGTTTGTCAGCAGGTGACCATGGGCTTCTGAGCATCACACAGGAAACAGTCAGCTTTTCTAGAAACAAAACCCAGGCAGACCAAATTTTGCCTGCTTCCCAAGCGATCAAAATGCTTTTAGTTTGACAGAGGTGGGGAAAACGCTGCAGTTCTGAAACCATGCCTATTCCATGGTTCTTTGCCTATGTCATTGGTGTACTTGGTCCAAATAGGTCATCTGGATGATACATTCTGGGTGTTCTGGTTGACTGGCATTCAGAGTGCTAAAATCTATTTGTTTGCTTGGTTTTATGTCCCCATGCACAGAAGCTGCAGATTCAGATGCAGCTGAAAAGACTCCCTTGCTAAATATCCAGGCCTAAAATCTTACCAGAGGCAAAACTCCAGTATATATAAACTGTACTGTGATCTTTGGATTAAAAGCTCTGCTTGAAACTTTGTTTTATGGCAAACCTATGTTTAATATTTGTCTATTTTAGTTTATTTTAAAGATCTGCATATTTTCTACATTAATCTGTATTTCATTCCCTTGGGGCCATTGGCGATTGAGTTTCTGCTTGCTTTCAGGTTACTGATTGCTGCTTTTCTCCCTTTCTAGATAATCCAGCCCTCTTTTGGTTCTCCAGACACATCTCTCTCTGGGGAAGCATTTCCTTCAACCTTGCTGTATTCATCAATTTAGCAGTTGCTCTGTTCTACCCTTTTGGAGACGATGGAGATGAAGGCAAGTAGAGTTTGGTTTTATTTTTTGTTCTAATTTTAGATGCTTTCATTTCTAAGGTAACAAATAAAGCTGCATTTTCAGGTGCAGTCATATCTGGAAGCCATTTAGTGTCTCCTAAGTAGGTGCCAGATGTTGTCTGAAATGTGGTGGTTGATCTGTGTGTCACGTGGCCCACACAATGCAGAGCAGAATGGACAAAGCATAAGCTGGAGATTATCTAGATGATCTCAGCTAATTTTTTTATATTGCCATATTGCAGTGTCCTACTGCACACATTTAGCTGCAGCTTCTGAACTGAAGGAGGATTCCCTGGCAGCAGAGGGATAGAGATTCCTTAAGGCTGACCAAATTGAATGACTTGCAGTCTTGAAAACATATGGAAGAGAATTATTTGAAAACAAGCTTGTTGGCTTTTGACTGTATTGTTTATTGGGATAAAAGGGCATAACTTTTGCAGAGGAAAAATGCATTATGTAAAAATACTCTTAAAACTTATGATTCTGTCTCTGCTTCATCCCATGTCACAGGAAATATTTAATGAAGTTTTTTATTTGCTATAAATGCAGCAGACTAGCAGGAGGCCTCTTTGAAGCCCAAACAAGCTTAATTGGGATAAAAGACACTAAATACTTTAGAATACTGGTAATGGGAGCAGAGCCATTCACCTCTGGGCCTTTGATTTGTGGCCAGTCAGTAATGTGACTGAAAGTCACCTCTGTCTGATGGCATGTGAACTGGGCTGGTGGAAGCAGTCCAGCTTCTAGTAGATACATAGTTTTCACAAACACCACAGCTGGCACCAGCAAACATTCCTGCTGGCTGGTGGAACAGAAAGGCAGCAGATTAAAATATATTGGCACGGGGACCACGCTGCCCTGGCAGCCCACAGGGTGGTCTCTGCAGGTCACAGCTCAGGCAGCTCCACAGCCTCGGGGAGTGAGGCAGAGTTTGCAGGGCTGTGCCCTGGAGAAGGGAAGCATCTTGTGCTTTGTAAACTGGGGAGTTACTCAGAGCATGTTAGAGCCCATGGAGGATGAGAGGAGAAATAAAGGGTTAAAAATAAACCTTTTAAGCTACTAAATTTTAGCTAATCTATACTCGTGGAAATCCTCTAGTCTGCAATCAGTAAGTATTAATACTTATTCTGAACTGCAGATTTATATGGCATTAGTTTAAGTGGCCCCAGTAATCCAGTGACAGCTCATTTCAGGATTCCAGCTCCTGGTGCTTGTAAAGCCAAAGTGACTCCTGAGCAATAAGGAATAGGTGTGGCCAAATCAGATTAGCAGGTCATGAGGCAGTTCCTTACTTCCAGCCTCCCTCTCCACCAAAGCTTCATCCAGCAGCTGGAGTTTGTCTCCCATTTTTCCCCTTCACCCTGTGTAAATCTACCTCTATTCACCTGTCTGAGGTGCCTGGGCTGATCTAATCATCCCAAAATGCTGCCTTTTAGTAGGTACTTGCAGTTCTTATGTAATAGGACATAGGCAAATCTGCTCCAGCTGAAGGCTGCTCCTGAAGGGAGCCTAAAAGAAAGAAAGGAGACAAGAGCACATGGTGACAGGGAGAATGGTGTCAAGCTGACAGAGAGCAGGTTTAGTTTAGATATTAGAAAAAAACTCTTCCCTGTGAGGGTTCTGAGGCACTGGCACAGGTTGCCCAGAGAAGCTGTGGCTGCCCCATCCCTGGCAGTGTCCAAGACCAGGTTGGATGGGGCTTGGAGCAACCTGGGATAGTGGAAGGTGTCCCTGTCCATGGCAGGGAGAATGGAAATTGATGATCTCTGAGGTCCCTTCCAACCCAAACCATGATTCTGTGAAGACTCCTTGCCTCTGCAAGGAGTGGGTGCCTGTCTGCACATGGTGCTGGTGTGGGTCCTGCAATGTGAAATTGCTGGACCTGCAGTAGGGAAGAAGGAAAACTGGTTTGTGAAAGAACCACAGAGAACTTTGGCCTTGTCTTTCAGATGGGCTTGAAAGTAATTTTTTTTAGGATCCATTAAAAGTTTCCAAATCTTGTTGGCAAAGAAGTTCTCTGATAGAGCTGACCTTGAACCTCCCACCAGGGATAGAAACACTCCTGAACTTTGGAAAAGTTCGGATGCCATCTCAATGTTAAGGCTAGGGCCTCGTCTCATTGTTTTCTAATCCCAGTGATGCTGCTCAGCTGTGTATCTGTTGCCAAAGAGATTCCTATTGTGAGTCTAGCTAAATTTTCTATTCCCTTCTCCCCCGTCACTGACCTCTCAGTTCATCCCATAACAATAGAAGTCAGTGTACAAGTGTGACAGTGCCCTGAGATCTGAATGTGCTTTTTATATTCCAGCAGCATGGTGTGTTTCCAGAGCTTTAAGCAGAGGGGAGAGGGAAAACAGGGGCATCGTTCAAAGCTCGGGGAGCGCCTGGAGCCAGCATCTTGCAGAGCAGCAGGGACTGGCAGTGCAGGCGGCAGGAGCCGGGCCCCGCTGCGTGCCCGGAGCCGAGCGCGGGCTGAGCGCTGCGGGCCCTGCCCGGGCCCATCCCGCCGTGCCCGGCCCTGCCCGAGCCCATCCCGCCGTGCCCGGGCCGATCCCGCCGTGCCTGGCCCTGCCCGGGCCCATCCCGCCGTGCCCGGGCCGATCCCGCCGTGCCCGGCCCTGCCCGGGCCCATCCCGCCGTGCCCAGCGCTCCGCTGCCCTGCAGAGGCGGAGGCTCCCGCGGAACAGCCGCGGCCCTTCGGGAGGTCGCTGCTTTTTCGGGAGCCGCGGCTGGAAACGTGGCACTGCAGCGCGCTGCCACTTGCTGTGCTGCCCCCAGGACCGGCTATTTCGGTAGCTGAGCAATCATGGAATCAGACCGGAGGGGCCCTAATGATCCCTGCAGAAGGGAGCTGATTAGTGGCTTGCTCCAGGAGAAGGGTAAACTGTTCCATCTCTGAGCACTCCCTGGATTTTAATGGAAATTTCATTAGCTGCTCGTATTATTACCTGTTCGAAAAGCAACAATGCTCTGAGAATAATAGCTCCTGCTGCAATTAGGACAAGCCGTGGTCAGCAGTTGTGATGCATGAATCACGCTTTTGTTAGCTCTGCTGGCAAAGGAATTGATCTTTTGGATCCGTTTCTTGGTGAAAAATGGAGTCTCCAAAGATGCCTTTCTCAAATCTCCCTTTCTCCTCTGCACAGGCACGCTCTCACCGTTGTTTTCCGTGCTCCTCTGGATAGCAGTGGCGTTTTGCACAGCAATGCTGTTTTTCATCTCCAAGCCTGTAGGCATTCGACCCTTTTTGGTGTCTGTTATTCTCAGGTCTATATATACTATAGGGCTCGGTCCTACCTTGATACTCCTTGGTGCTGCTAATGTAAGTACTTCAAAAGCAACCAGAATTTCCTTTTCAGCAGAAGGAAAGATATTAAGGCTCTCCTACATAAAAATCTCATTTGATTAGAGCTGTGCAAAAACTTATTTTTCTGGTTCATTGTTTAAGCCAAAAAAATAAATAATTTCCAGTCATCCTGGAACAGCAGTGTCAGCGAAGTGGGAAACTAAGAAAAAAGTTGGTTTAGTTTTGTGCATATGCAAATATTTTAAAAACAACGTGAAATTTAAAGAAATATTGCTGCATAAGGGCAATAAAATCTACAGTTTCTCAAGTTAAAAGAATAGTTTGCTCTACCAATACTCTCAGCATTATTGACACAAATATGTGAAATGTTTCTGAGACCTTAAATGTATTTTCAGGAAGAAAAGAGTTTTCAAAATTAAAAATTCTCTCAGCCCTTTGCCAGATCTCTTAACTTAGCCATGAATAAGTCTGCATGCTTACTGAGCTTGGTAAGACACACAGTCGTGCTCACAAGTCATCTATTTAAATTTCTGCCTGACTGCTACAGCTCTAATTCACCCCAGCACGAAGTATTGGGCTGTTTGCCACCAGTTCTGTATGTGAGAATTTCACATACTGAAAAATACCTAGACATATAGTCAAAGATAAAGGCAAGTAAGCAGCACTTGCCCATGTCAAATTTGGTAGCAAAGGAGTCGTGTTGAGTCCTCATTCCTTGTCCTGGACTGCCAGAGAGATGAGGTGAGACCCTCTCCTGTTCACTGCTGCGCTGCTGCTCATGTGCAGGCAAAGCTTGGGAGCCATGGAGAATCTATGCTGTTGTTTAAATGCTATACTTCAAAAATGTCCTCAGTTCTGAGGGGTTTTTTTAGATATTTTAAATTGAAGAACATGATCTGAAGGAAATAGTTGTCACACACCCCCACACACACACTTTCTGTTGTGTTACTATTGTTCTCATGTAGTAACATACCTAGCTGCTCTTACATAGTTTCGGGTCTAAACTCAACATTATTGGGAGTTCACTCCCCAGCTGGATTTTAATGCCTTGTGACATTAACCCTGCCCACCTATTCACTAATGTTATAGGAATAAATCACAATGTGATGAGGCACAGTGCAGTGTTGGAGAGGTGATGTACTTCCACTCACCCTCACAGGCTCATTCCCTGCACGCTGTCAGAGCTGGATTTCCCTCACCTCACTCCAGCTATCTAAAGATTGTGCATTTAGTCAAACCAACCTATCTAGACAGCAACCCAAACAATAAATAGCAGGATTTTTCTGAGACATAAACCTAGCCTTTGTTCCCCCCCACAGCTCTGTAACAAAATCGTGTTCCTGGTGAGCTTTGTTGGGAACCGTGGGACCTTCACCCGTGGCTACAGAGCGGTCATCATGGACATGGCTTTTCTCTACCACGTGGCTTATGTCCTGGTCTGCATGCTGGGCCTCTGTGTGCACGAGTTCTTCTACAGCTTCCTGGTAAGTACGTGCTGCTGTGGAGGGGAAAACTTTGCAAAAATAGAAAATACCGTTACCCTGCAGCTGTCTTCAATTTCTTCCTGACAATCAAGCCAAATCATGTGTATTTTTAGCATGCCGTTGTGTTGCTGCCCCTTAGGAGCTGCTGTTTTTATTAGAACCTGTTTCTGTTAGGACTTATTTTATCTGTTTTAGAGCTGAAAGTTTGCTCCATTCTTCTCAGACAATCATCACCCAGCCCACTCCTTTTTCTCAGCTTTCTCCATATTCTGTGTCCAACGTTCCTGTGCCTTCTGTCAATCCTAACATTTCAGGAGCACTTGTCCAGGGGTGGGTGCATCATACCTGTACCAAAGGATCCCATTCCTCATCCCCAGTATATTTTAACAAATTTCTTGGGAAATGGGGATGGCATGCCTTTGGTATAGCAGGAAGATTCATCACTTGAAATGTATCCCACTTCATTTTCTTTTGTTGCCATTATCCAGATGGAATGCCTTTTAATAATGTGGTACAGGTGCAGTGAAAATGAATCACACAAAATTATGCTAAACTCCACTAACTGCTCCCTTCATGCTGAGGAGCAGTAAAAGGTGTTTCACTGCTCGTTTGCTAATCCTTTTGCTCTATAGTGGAACATGTGAAACTTGTAGGGACACTGACTAAATTGTGGTCATTGCCTTTCCTGTTGTATTTTTTTCTCAGCTTCCTGAATAGTGATGAACTCCCAGCATTTTAAAGATGTGTTAAGCACACTAAAATTTTCAGGAGTTCAGTGCTAACTCAGTTAGAGTTCCTGTTGAAGTCAGACTTTCCAGATTTTTACACTAAAGTCTGCTTCAAAGTTTGGGAAGATTTCTAAGGAGATGAGATTGTGGCTGTAGGTGCAGAACCCTCTTGAAATGGATGTAACTCTCCAGCTTACAAAATGCACAAATTATTTGCTCTTCTTTCAATGAGTTAGGTGATCTGTGTCTTAAAATACTTTGCAAAGTGTCAAGCAGTTTAAGAAACATTTTACTGTACTGTACATGTACTTACTTTTTTTCAGTGACTGCTATTGACCAATGTCAGGTTGCTTCCAGGTGTTTACTTAGTAGTGGATGTACTCTAAACTCTAATATTTGTTCATAACTGTCTCCCCTCTTTCTTTATTATTAATCCTTTTACAAGGCTGTCTATTTCAGATCTTATAAATTGTGGCTAATATCTTCTTCTGTTGAGCATTTTGATAAATCACAGTGTGTCTCTTTATATCTGTAATCTGAGTGTTTTGAAGTAGAAATACATGCCTTATAGATAAGGTCCAAAGCACTATAGAACATCAAGAAAATTGTAGGAGAAAAAAAAGTTAAAGTTTCTTGTAAAGCTCCTCTCACGTTTAATTGCTGGTTTAGACTTTTGACATTTAAAGCAATATTATCTTAATATATAGTTTTCTTTAAAGTTAAATACCAGGAAACCATATAGTGCAGGGTAGAGAAGAACAGAAGTTTCTAGTCTCATACAAACAGTGACATGAATTTAACTTTGTCCTAAAAAGAGGTGGCCCCAATCCTTGAACATGTGACATTTACATGGTGCCATGAGCTCAAAGCAAGTTTACAAATATTTAATCACTTATATGTATGAGTGTATTTTTGAGTGGCAGCCTGTGCACGTTTGTCAGATTGTGCATTTAGAGATAACATGAAATATTACTTTGTAGATATAGATCCATAGTGTGAAGACACTGTTTAAATTTTAATATAGCCAGGTTTTAATCATGGGGAAACAGCAGATCTTGATGGTGTTGTCCATCTCTGAATCAGGCTCAAATATATTTTGTGGATTTTGCTATAATTAATTTTAAGATGTAAAGTTCTGTGCTAGATTTCCTCCTCCATAAGCATGACCAGCTCCCACTGAGATCAATGTGAGTTCATGAAGCTGAGAATGTAGAATGCATGTTCTGCGTGGCTCGATGCATGTTTCAATAGTTCAAATTGTTTTCCTATGTAGCATCTATATTTTGCCTCATTTGTATTCATGTTTCCTCTACTCTCTGCCTTTCCCAGCTGTTTGATCTGGTGTACAGGGAGGAGACATTGCTAAATGTGATAAAAAGTGTTACCCGGAATGGCCGTTCAATTATCCTCACTGCAGTGCTTGCTCTCATCCTGGTTTATCTCTTCTCCATCATTGGCTTCCTCTTCCTGAAAGATGACTTTATCATGGAGGTTGACAGGTTGAAAATCAGGACCCCTGCTGCAGGTATTGTTTTTTATATTAAAATTTGCTTCCGACATATCCCTTTTTCTATCTGCCTAGTCTAACTTTTCATCTAAGGACATTAAATTTCTTTATTTGTGCCTGCATGAGAGCAGAAGTGATTCCATATACCTTAGAACTCAATTAAGTCTCTGTGTAAAATTTAATGTGTATAGGGTTGTTTTAGTCTGGGCTTATTTGTTGAAATGCTAAAATCTAACACATTTGATTTATTATGTTTGCTTCACAAACTCGTGATAACGTTAAAAAAAAATAAATCTGTATTTCCTAAATATCTTCCTAAGTGAAAAGCAGCTCCAAGTGGATTGTATTGGTTCTCATCCCACATTAAAAGCAGCTCATATTAATTTCTGTGTACTGTATGAGGCACGTGATCTTAACATCGTTAACTTTATTCATTTCATTGCTTTTTAAGCTTCATCCTGCAGAAATTTATTACAGAATTCACATTTCTACTGATAGGAGCATCTTTTAAATTCAGTGTGTATTTCATGATCATCCTTAGTGTATAACCCTGGCTTCAGTAAAGTCATTGGGAGGTTTGGAACCAGTTTTAAAAAGGCCAGGATTTCAGCTTTCTGGAATGAGAGAGTTTAGCAAAGTGAACAGAGAGTTACAAACTTGCTTTGCTAGAAAAGAGCCAGGTCTGGTCTGTTGAGGGCTTTGTGTGTGCTGCCAGCAGCCTGCTGGGACATGGGCAGGGGAGTAACAACTGGCTGCAGAGAAATACTTGAGAATAGCTGCTGATTAAATTCCTCGAGGCATGATTTTCCCAAATGCTGAGCTCTTCAGACCTGTACACAAGCACAGAACCGGTGGAACCCAGCTGGGGCTGTGTGCACTCAGTGTTTGCCAGTCTTTCCCTGAAGTTGTTTTTTCAGGATTTAAAGCTCACAAACAAGGCAAAGGTCATTCAAGACTCATGGGCCTGGCGTACTTCTGTAGCTGGTTCAAAACCATATAAAGAGAAAAGGAACCTGACAGATTTCTTTAACATACTGTGATTTTTTTTAAATTTTTTTATTTTTTTCTGCCACTGATCATCCATTAGGGGCTAAATTGGCTTATATTTGACTTACCATTCATTTTTGGGACAGAACTTAAGGTATGAAGTTTCATTTTGAAAGGTAGTTGTGACCATTTTAATAAAAGAGGCTACACACAGCTCTGGTCTGATCCAGGGCAGCAGCTCCTGTGTGTTTGTGTTGCTTCTGTTGAGTTCTTGGCAGATTTTTGTGGTGTGGGTATGTTCTTGCTGGCTTCATACATTGCCATTTCTGATCAAAAACTCATCAAGAAAATATGCTGACTGCATGTTGATGGAACATTATGCTTCCCAGGACAAGTGCTTTAAATTTTTTCTTTATAAAGTAGCAGAAAGAGTAAGTCAGAGTGCATGTTTTCTGCATTACACATACTGTCTTAGGCTGTTATTTTGTTGTATAGTTTTGCCTTCATTTTTTTCTCCTTAAACCTTTTTGTATCTCTAATTTGAAATGCAGAAAATTGTTGAAGATGCACAAGAGAAAATTGGTTTGATAAAATCAAGCTGATGTACACATTTACCACTTTGGGAATGTTAAATTAGTGTTTTACACAAACCCATACATATTTACAAATGAGTACCAAACTGTGTTATAATCCTTGAAAACCCTTAAATATTCTACATTCAGGATAACTGAATGTCAGCTCGGTGTCCTTCTTGTCAGCTTTTGTGAATAATTTATCTAATGGTTTTTAAAACTGACATTATTTTCATATCTGACAGTTGTTTCTTGCTTTGAATATATTTTGTGCTCACCAGAAGCAGTCGCATTTGATGTAGATTCATTAATTTCAGGAGATGAAATGGGAATAGCTGTGATATACAGTAAATATAAAACTATGTTTTTGTTCATTATGATTGCTTTGAGCTGTTGAGGCAGAATCTTTCAAGGAGGGAGGAATTGCTGGTGTAATTTGTTCTCTTTTTCTTCTTAACTCTCCAACCCAGTGCTTCACTCCTTGGAAATAATGATTTAAAACTTAACATCAATGTAGTCTGTCTTTTTGTCAACATCCTGCTTTTTCCACAGGTATTGGTGAAGTTCCCACTACAACCCTGACATCAATGATGGGAGCCTGTGCAAAGGAGAACTGTTCCACGAGCATCCCAGCTCTTAACCCAGGTCAGTACAGAACCTCCCTCAGACCAATGATCACTTAGAGCCAAGGGACGCCTGGAAATGTTCAAGGCCAGGTTGGATGGGGCTTGGAGCAGCCTGGGATAGTGGAAGGTGCCCCACCCATGGCAGAGGGTTGGAATGATATGATCTTTGAGGTCCCTTCCAACCCAGACCTGAGGTTCTGTGATTCTCTGATCTGTGTGTTGCTGTTTCAGGGACTTCTGCTGGTGTGAGAAGTGACAATGACTCTTGTGAGTCAGAAGTGCTCAACTTCTGCAAGGCTTGGAGCTTAGTTGGCAGCTTTGCTGTTAATGGGAGTGCTTCCCACACCTGATTTCCAAATGCACTGGCATTAATTTTGTTATTAAAAGAGCTTGCTGAATCATTATGCTTGAATGTACAGGTTGCTTCTTGCCAAGTGACTTAGCAGAGAGAAGCAGCTTGCTGCTTGTCTGCAGCATCCTCACCTGCACACACTGAGCTACTGGTAGATCAGTTAGGGCCACAGAAATTCATTTTCATGGCATAGCATATCTGTCAGCAAGCTTCTGTGTATTTTTTCTATATGTATCTGGGCCAAGGCTGTATTTGTAGCCAGAAGACCTGAGAACCCACATCCGGGCCCACATGTCTGTCTGTCTGTCTGTCCCCCTCTTTGCATGGGGCACAGCCTAGTTGAGTGGCTGGTGTTAAAGTGCAGGGCTTGTTTGGTTTGATGTGTTGTGGCCTTTGCAGTGGAGGTGTGTGCACAGTGTGAATGGTCTGCAGGCTCAAAGTATTTACTGCCACAGTTGCCTGTGGCTGCTGGGGGCTGAAAGTGAGGACACAAACTGTCCCTTACTGTGTGCCAGTATAGTGTTGTTTCATAAGCTTTATTCTTCCACTAATTTTTGAGTTTTTAGGATCAAAGCCTTCAGGGAGAGGGCTATAAAAGCGGGCTTTTTCTCCCCAGCTGGTGTGTAAACAGGCCTCATAAACAACATGGGAAGCTGTCTGGCTAGATAGAGAAAACAGTCTAAGAGCTATTGGCAAAGCTGCTGCATTCAAAGAGTAATCAATCAGTCAAAAAGATGCAGTATGGTTTTTGCCAAGCTCTTTAAATGATAGAAATCTCACATTTCTCATTGTTTGGGTACTGCTCCTTTAAAATCAATCCATAACGAAGGAGGGCTGACAAAACATCTAAGTGCACTCTTACTGAATCTTGAAGAGATTTTATTTATCCCGTACCATTAAAACCCACCAACGTTCAGCAAGAGCAGTTTTGTTCACCTTAGCCACCTGGTCAAAAGAATCTTTCTACTTTCTGTCTTTTCCTGGGACAGATTTCCTCTCTGGCGAAAGTGTGAGCGTGGTGGAATGCAAAGGCATGAGATCACCATCCCTGGAAGTGTTCAAAAGCTGTGGGGATGGGGAACTTGGGATGTGGTTTAGTGGAGGACATGGCATGGTTGGGTGAGTGGTTGGACTCGGTCTCAGAGGTCTCTTCCAGCTTTAATGGTGCTATGATTCTGTGAGATTTGGGGAGTTTCATATTGCAGCACCAGAGAAGTCCACAGCTGTGTGTGGGAGAGAGAAAATGTTCTCAGTGGCATCTCAGGTCCTGAGTGAGACAGGAATTACATTGCTTTTCAGATCAGATCACTGCTGATCTTTGCTTCTGATGGCACTCTGCTTCTTCCTTGGGTTTCACTGGTGGAGCCTGTGCTCAGTCATTGCTCTTACTGGTGAGGGAGCTCCCTGGGGAGGCAGTGTGCTGTGCTCCCCTCTCTGCAGCCTGCTGCTCACTGCTGCTCTGGGCTGTCAGCATGAAAAAACTTCATCTCATCTTCCTTGGAGTGTCCCTCTCTCCACTCCAAAGACATTTCCATAGCACTTCAGTCTGTGCCTGGTGAAGTCCCTGATCACTTACAGGAACTTCACATCCTACAGTACATACCTCCTCCTGTAGCCCATGAAGATCTGTGCTAGGAAGGTGCACAGACACCTGTTTGTAAAATGGGACATTTCCAAAGAGCCATGCCACTGCCAGGCCTGGTCCTGCTCTGTGCAAGTTCTGCTGGGTCCATGTGTGCACAGGTGTGTCTCACCTGATGTGCTTGTGTGGCCCAGGTAGCTGTGGGCCATCAGATGAGGATTTTTTAAGTAATTCTCCCTGTTATTCCTCCCCCTCCCTATTATCCCTCCCCCTGCCCACATTGTGATGTGGTCTTAGCCCTTAACCTGTTTTGCCCATGAACTAAATTTAATCAGAAGACAGCCTGCCTAATGCTGTCCAGACCCTCACAAGCCACTTTCCAGGGTGGAACTGCTTGCAAATAACCCCCCCTGAACCTCAATTAGTGTTAATATTGGGTCCTTAACAACTGTGCACTCTACAGATCCACTCCTTTCTTTCAAGTCTGGGCATTGCTGATGCCTAGAGGGCTCTGAGCCTGCACTGTGAATGCTGTTGGGCATTGAGAACAGACAGCTGAGGCAGAACATGTGCCTGTAGGGTTGCCTGGCTGCCAGCTTGAAGGCAGCTCCACATCTGGGAGTGGAATAGAACAGCAAAAATGATGTCTGTACACTCCCCACAGCCTACATTGCTGCACTAGAGGTTTCTGCCAACTCTGGGCTGTCTGGTTCTCTGGCAAAGATCTTGCAACCTGAGCTTGCTTTTCTGGGAGCTTTTCTGGCTGGGATGCTGATGTTCTGTGTTGCAAGATGTGCAAGGTGATGTATCTTTTTCTCTGAAGCCTGGCTTGCTCTGAATTAGCATCTCAGTGGACAGGGAGAGTTGGGTGTTAGGGCTGCTGGTAGATAATTCCCTCTTCAATTCTCAGCCCTGGATTATCCTCTCTGTTCACCAGAATCTGATCATTTGCTGCTCCCAGCACCTGAGTCTGGTCTTGTGAACAGAGAAAATATTGTAGTTGCCTAAAACAAATAGAAGCCGTGGCTTTTTGAAGGCTTTTTATTTATTTTGTGGATGGTCTCCTTCTCAAGCAAAAAAAAAAAAAAAAAGATGGAGTATTGTTTGAAAAGAGGGAATAGTAGCAGGATACAACAGCAAAGATTAGTTGGTATGAATAACATCACTGTGCTAGTAAGAAAAATCTAGGTATGACAGGATAAAAAAGGTTTCTTGTTTCAATCCTTTCAGTTTCAATATTTAGGCAGTTATTTTTAAATCCAGGATTATTTGTGGGAGTAGTGTCTGTAATGACCATATAGTTTAACAGGGAAGTCTGTCCTGATGTCTGCTTTTGCTTTTCTTTTTGCTCAAAGCTCCTTCAGTAGGGAGTTGTTTCTCATTTAATTTGCCTGTGGAGCAGAAGCAGTGGTGGCAAGAGCAGCAGACACCAGTGCTGTCCTGCCCATCCCAGCCAGGATACATGCACCACAGTCTGGGAGCCCAAATCCAAAATTAAATTTAAATCCAAATTACTTGTCTGCAATGTGAGTGCTTGCAGTCAATTCAATTTATCAGAGTCTATCTCAGTGGCCCAGATGTGGTGGTTTGGGGCTGTTAAATATGTGTATCAGTCAGCTCTCCCAGCGGGGTGTTGTTATTTATTAAACTCTGTTACAATGAGTGCACGGAGCACAGCGAGAGTGAATCGCTGCCTCCCCCCCAAGCGAGCGTGTCCCTGAAGAGGAAGGAAGGCAGGAGAAATGCAGTCACAGCCCTGGCCCTTCAGCCCAAGCCAGCAGCACACAGGGAACAGCTCAAGCAGGGCTCTTCAAAGGGAGGCTGTGGAAGCAGTGAGTATGTGGTGGGAGGGACTCTGGCCAAGGTGGACCAAGTCCCCCTGGGGTTTGGTGTTCCAGCCCAGCTCCTCTGCACGTTCAAATATCTCCTGTACAATAGTACCCTCTGTGGCTCGGCCAAAACCACACAGCAGCTCTGCAGCGCAGATAAGAACAGAATCCAAGTTTTCAGGCTGAGGCCAGGGAGAGCCTTTCATTTAATGTCTGTCAGACCTGTGCTTGGGCACGTGTGCTGGTGGAAAGATCATGGACAGACGGACTCGAACAAAAGCCCCTCCTTAATAGTTTGAAATGCTAACATGACTTGGCTTCTACATGAGTAGGTAGAGGAATGATTTCACAGGAAGACAATCCTTTTACAAATGTGCTTCTAATTCTCTGTTTATATTGCTGCTTGTCTATGCTGCATTTTTAGGGGGTCCACTGGAAAAGCAGTGGGAGGACTGCAAGGAGAAGGGGTGCTCCCATGAGCAGAGATGGTGGCTCTGGGTCATTAACAGCTCTGGTGGGAGCCCTGTTTGTGATTTTCTCCATCTCTCTTCAGGCTAAGTGGGCCTGATGTGCCTAAGTATGTCACCAGCAGGGATGTGCACATGGGTGGGGATGATCAATGAGGTTCTGCATGAGAAATACAAGAGGCAGATGTGTCTTGCAGTTGCTTTCTCTAACAGAATTGTAGCTTTGTTTGATGAGTGATTATTTGATGCTGTGGTTCCTGTTTGCAGGTGAAGAAGAGGAGGATGGAATAGAAAGGACCTGTGATACCCTGCTCATGTGCATTGTGACTGTGTTGAACCAAGGCCTGCGCAATGGTGGTGGTGTGGGAGACGTGCTCAGAAAGCCTTCCAAAGATGTGAGTGTTTTGGCTCAGGAAACGCATTACTCCCTGTGCATCTCATGAATGCCAAAGTCAATTTTTGGAGGTTATAGACAGTGTTTGTATCTAGTCTGATCTCATGTCACACGGTTGACTAATCCATGTGTTTTTTAGATCCCAGATGGGATATTTAATGGGAAGAGCTAGGCTTTGTGTGATGATGATACTTGAAGAAAGGATTTCTAGGTAGTTGTTTACCACTTCTGGAAAAATGCAGAATACCATAACCTTCAAAGAACTGCTAAGAAGTCAGCGCTGGGAGGCAAATCTGGAGTGCTGTGTCCAGTCCTGGGCTTCTCAGCACAGGAGGGACAGGGAGCTCCTGGACTGGGGCCAGTGGAGGCTGCAGAGATGATTTAGGGCCTGGAGCATCTCTGGAGGGAAAGGTTGAGGGAGCTGGGGCTGTCCAGCCTGGAGAGGAGCCCCAGCTGAGAGGGGCCCTCAGCCCTGGGTGTCCCTGCCTGCAGGGAGGGCTCCGAGCAGGGCCCAGGCTCTGCTCCAGGGGCCCAGCAATGGCACCAGAGGAACGGGCAGGGACTGAGCCCAGGAGGTTCCACCTGGACATTTTAGTTTATATTCAGCATGGCACCTGCCCTGGAATAGGTCCTGTTGTTTACTTGTACTCAACCAGCATGAAGATCAAACCAGAATTTAATCTGTTGTGGCATATTTTCTCCTCCAGAAGTTTCCTCAAAAATGTGGTTCATTTAAGGACCTCCCTTAGTATTTGGGTGGTTTCATGCATTTTTATTTAGGTTCAAAAAAAAAGAACATCACAAATAAAGGCAATCTAGCAGCACTTTGCTTGATGAGCCACACCATACACGTTATAAATAAATTCAGGATAAAGGATCTCAGCAGGGCTTGCAAGAGTCCAGAGACAGCTCAGATCTGCATGGAAGAGCTCCCTGTGCTGGTTGTAGGAGTCTATATCCTGTCTCACAGACTGGGAGGTTCTGCAGGAGCCAAAATTTATTCCCAGTGGAGTCTGTAAGCACTTACAGACTTTGAAAGTGACCCTTTGAAATTGACCCTTGCCACTTAGCAGCTCTTTAATGCTAATTATATTGACCGCACTCCACAAAGAGTAGTGCTATTATTCCCATGAATGTGTGGGAAACGGAGCAATTGGGTGACTTCAGGTTTCTATCATGGTGAAGAAAAGGACTTGGGTAAGTCCTGTGAGTAAGGCTAGCAGAATTTGGCATATGAAAAGAAAGAACTGTAGCTTTGGTTGAGCTAATGTGAAAATGTTGTTTAATATTTTAGATTTGTGCTATTTTTATACCTTATTGCAACCTTGCTATTGCAGGAGCCCTTGTTTGCTGCACGAGTTGTTTATGATCTTCTGTTTTACTTCATTGTCATAATTATTGTTCTCAACCTGATCTTTGGAGTCATCATTGATACATTTGCTGATCTCAGGAGTGAAAAGCAGAAAAAGGAGGAGATACTAAAGACCACCTGTTTTATCTGTGGTAGGTGTTACTGATCTCTTGAGATATTTGAGGGTGAAAGGAGTGAAAGTGAACTATTCCTCAATAAATAAAGCCTGGACCCCAGGTGTGGTTATCTTCTACAAGGGAAGTGTAAAAATTCCAGAGGCTGATTCCAAATTTATTCCCTCTCAGTAGGAGACAGATTTGGTTTGTGAATCAAAAGCTAGCTTTGCTGAGAGGTGGCTTCACAGTCTCCGCCCAGACTCCGAGACAGAAGAGCTGAGTCTCACGCTTGCATCACCACCACTAATGGAGATGGGGCAGCTGCTGACTCTGTTTCTCAGAGCTTGCTGCAGATGAAAGTGCAGCTTCTGTTTCACAGCACAGGGCATTCCAGAGGGGGAGCGTCAGCAAAAGCTGCCCATTTCAGAAGGTGATATGAAGCAGGGAACAAAAGAGTTTGGCGGAAATCATCCCCACAAAGCCCATGGAAAATCACACTTATTTTGAAATGCACTCACAAAGAGGGACAGACCTTCACTCCCTGGGGGACTTCACAGATACCTGCTTTTTTGTAGGCTGGGTGCTGTTTCCATGGTGGTTGTGCTGACAGGGATGAATGCTGTGCAGAGCACTACTTGTCTTTAGTGTCTGTGGACAGGAAATCCAGGGAGGCAAACATTGGTGATTCCTCTCCTTCCTCACTTCTGGTATTCTTCAGAGATCTGGACCATTACAGGGAAAAATAAAAAACAATTCTTATGACTACAGCTCTGTAAAGACTGTGTGACAACAGAGCTGCAGGGACTCACCCTCTCTGCCAGGTTTAAGCCCACAAACAATCTCACTGAAGCTTAAGTGGGACTCTTTATATGTTTGATGCTAAAAGTGTGCATAAATCTTTGGAAGATCAGGGCCTGGACTGCACACTATGTGCTTCCCAGTATACATCTAGAAAGAGCCACAGCCAACACTTGTAAAACACTTTATGGCCCTCAGCATAGAAGGCTCTGTAAAACTGTAACATATTTATTATATTGTTATTGTTATTAAGAGGAAGCATCACAAAAGAGAATAAATGCTCCGTTGAAAGACTTCTGTCAGGAATGCCTTCTGGCCTGGTATTTCTTGCCTGGCAGTTACGGCTTTTAAATTAAGATCTTTCAAATTTATGATCCTTTAAATTAAGTTAGGTTCCCTTCTCTAACATATTTAACAGATTTGCGTATTTTTATGTTGAAGTTTATTTTTTGGCTTTATGTTCTTCTCTTTTTGCAGGACTGGAGAGAGACAAATTTGATAACAAGACTGTTTCGTTTGAGGAGCATATAAAGGCAGAACACAACATGTGGCATTATTTGTACTTTATAGTTCTTGTCAAAGTTAAAGATCCAACTGAATACACTGGCCCAGAGAGCTACGTGGCACAAATGATTGTGGTAAGTCAATTTGGGCAAATGCTTTATGCAACTGAGAGTTGCTCCTTGCAGCTAGGGCAGAGAATATCTTTCGTTTCCTCTCTCTCTGAACAATAGGAGGTATCGATCTGTATTTTTAAAGATCTTTTCACATGTCCTAGCCTGCAACAAAACCCAGCCTTAAACATAATGAAAAAGATGAAGGTGCAGGCCTCAGTCTCCAGTTTGGCGTCGGTGCTCTCATGCTCTGTGGGTTCTGCTGCCTCATTAGGCAGAGCTGGGGCAGGAGAGCATGCATCATAACATCTGCTGCTGCTCCAGCTTTGCCCAGTGTCTCTGGGCTGCTGTCCAGAAAAATAACATCTCCTGCTGCACGCTGAAACGCAGGGTCAGTGCTCAGGGCTGGTGCTTTTCTCCTATGGCTGCTCTGAGCAAGCTAGTGAAAAAACCAAACAGAGCAGCCACAGGGATTTGAAGAGCCACAGAAACTGCCTTGTGAAGCAGGGAGAGTACTTGGATTCAGAGAGGGAAATGTGATGATGCTGGGCCAGAGAGGTGTTCGATTACAGTTTGTTTCCAGCCCGCTGCTGAAGAGTGTTCGTTCTGCTCAGTGACAGGAGTGGATTATCAAGGCTGCCTGGCTTGGGGCTTCATTTTTGAGGAATTCTGCCTGCCTGCTGGGATATTCTGGTGCAGCATTTTCTTCCTGTGGACTTGCTGGAAGGTGTTGCAGTGCTCAGGGCCTGTGCCAGGCTCTGTGGTTGCAGAGCTGGCATATGTCTGAATCCCGGAGGAGGCTGTAACCAATGCACATCCGGCTTCACTCTTTCTGCACTTCTGGAGCCACATTTCTTATCAAGACTATCTCCCTGCTATCCCTCATCAAGCCTTTGGCTGGACATACTATCCAGCCTCATTACTGAGGTGCTGGGTGGCCTTTTACTCCCCAGTTTAGCCAAGGGGAAGATTTTTCTCCTTTCACTTCAGCTGTTGTCAGGTCTGGCGCCAGGTTTCAATCGATCCCAGCTCCTTTCTGCCTTGACAGTGCAGAAAGCTGGGTTATTTATTCTGCCTTCAGATGGGTGTCCAGGATAGCTGGGCTGACTCACCTTTCTCACTCTATTGAGAGCCCAAATGGTTAGTTTAGACAAGATGCGTAATTGGGAGCAGGCTAAAATTAGAGCTGACTGCCACGCACTGTGCAGGCTTATGCAGAGCTTACCTTGAAGAACTGGTGGAAATGGTGGTGTTTAGACAGGAGTGTATGCTTGATTGCTGCAGTTAAATTGAGCTTTTGTAAGTGCTATTGCCACTAGAAGGGAAGGTGTTGTGGCAGGTGAGGGAAATCAGTGCTCAGGTGCAGAGGAACAGCCTATTTCCTTCAATTTTGAACCATCAGTCTCATTGCCCAGCTCAGAGTGTTTATGCTGTAGGCAGTGATGGATCTACTCTTCTGCAGTTTGGTGGGTGAGGTAGAAAACCTAAAACAAATCCTTGTAGACTCTGTTGCATTGCAAGAAATAATTCATAGTGGCAAGTTGTGCTGTTACCCATGGAAATTTTAGCTTATGTCAGAAATACATTTTAATTTCTGGGACCAGACTCTGGGGCCTGTCTCATTTGTTCATTCCTCCTCTTCCTCTCCCTGCAATGTTTGTAGGATTTTAAAAGTTTGTAGTATGTATGTTAAGTATTAATGTTTAATTCTATGAGATGCATTAATATTCATAGTAAATATATTCGTCCTGTGGCAGCAGTGGTTTGACTTTTCTGATGTGTAATTCACTAATGTATTTTACTTCTGCATTAATGGCTGGAGCTCCTTTTTGAATATCTAAAACAGAAAAGCACCAAAAACTTGCGTGACCCCAAGCACTGAACTGATTTCTCAAAACCCCTGTTCCTCTAAGGCAGAAGGCTGGTAGTTTAAGTGGTTAGCAGTAATCCAGATTTTGGGATTATTAAACTCTCTTTTTCCAGTTAAAGGTTATTTTGGATGCTGGAGAGGTACCTATGGATCAAGAAATGTAAAGCTTACATGGGATGAAAGTATAAAGGGTAGAGTGGGAGAAAAAGGAGAAATGAATGGTTGTACAAACTACAAGTGTCTGGTATGGGATTAGTAGTTGTGTCTTTGTGTAGTTTAAATTCCTAGTATGAAATCCAGGGAAGATGTGCTGCATAGCAAAAGCAATTGGAACTTCTTAAGTGAACAAAAAAAGGACACTTTCTCTTGGAGCCAGAGAATTTACTGTGTGTCACATGCATCAAGGAATACTAAGAAATTAAAGAAAATAATCTGACTGCAGGAATGGAGTATGATATTTGACTGGAGGAAGAAATTTAGCGATACAGCTTTGCTTAGGACCAAGAGTCAAAAGGAAAACTCTCAGAGGCAGTTTTGCAGCTGTCAGACATATGAGCTGCTTAGCAAATGTGTTTGGTGTGTCCCAAACACAGCCTGGTAATAATGAATTACACCACAGGCACGTGAGATGTGCTGCATTCCCTGCACTAATTAAGCCTAAGCATGGCTTTTGTCATGAAGACAGATAAGCTGATTCAGACTCTGTGACAGCCTGAAAGCTGTGTGACCATCCTTCTGATGCTGGGAGAGGTGACCAAGTCCCAGGTAGGACAGCACATCCTGGTTAGGATCTGGCAGAAAAGAGACTTGAAATTAACCTTTCACAAGGGACTTGCCAATGGAATTGGCTCATTGATGAAATAGGCTTGTTGGGGGTATATGGGATTGCAGGAAATATTTATAAATATGGGTGTTTGGGATAGCAGGGCAGTCTCAGGACCTCTTTGAAAAGGAGAAGGTGGAATGAGATTTTATATTTCTTACTATACAGAATATGGCTGGAAAAACTCTATGAATCATACTCCTGGAAGAACTCTCTTCATTCTAATTGTTTTTGTTATGATCAGGAATACTTCCTATGGCTGCTTCTGTAGCTTTAATGGATTCTGTGGAATTTAATGGAATTCTGTGTTTTCACAGCCAAATCACTTAAGGAGAACTTCTACCCAAATCCAGTCTTCAAGTCCTTCAATACACATAGGTCAAAATTTTGGAATATGCTGTAACTTTAATAGAAAGTAGAGTTTTGCTCCAAGTAGCATCCTCACTGTCCCTACAACTGCAATAAGGAACCAGTTATTATTTGCATTTGCCTACTCCTGTCTTACAAAGTATTGCAAAAAGTAACATTGGAATAATGATCAGTATTAACTAAGCACCAGGAAAAGCATCTACAATTTCTGATAGTCCTTTTCTCTATTGCCCACCCTCGTCAGAGCCCAAAAATAAGACTGTCTACTTTGTGACTCTCAGTCTTCTCTATGTATCATTTGTCCAGCAAACAGTGCAGCATCTGGTTGGAAGGTTTGCTGATAGCACAACAGATAAAAAACCAGGAATACTGTGGTTTCCTTGTTTTGGAATGTTATTTGAAAGGCTGGATGCCAAAATGATGGGAATTATTTACACATCATTGTTCACCTCTCCGGTTTTTCAGCTCAAAAAGGGGAAAGAAACATGTGGGTGATGTTGTACACACCCCTCACTCAAATGCAAGATTCTTGCAGACTTCTAAGTTCACTTGTATTTCTGTTCCAGGGGTGGTTTGCTCCAAGGCATTCCCATTATCTTGCATGTCTCTGGCCTCAGATGACCTTGGGGTAAAGCACTTCTTTTGCTTTCTTGCTCTGGACTGTGGACATTGTCTCTGCAAACTCCTGGTGTTCCCTGTGATTTTGGTTTTCCCAGAAGCTCTGTGTTTGCTTCAGTGCTTAGCATACTGCTCTGAGCAGTGATTGAAGTAGTCAGGACCTATGCAGCCTTCATAAAGAAGGTATTATTTTTTTCTGGGTTTTTTTTTCTTTTTAGAAAAAAGCATCAAGCATAAAATGTGTTCTAAAGCAACACGCAGTTTATACACCTCAAGCTTTATGGAGATGTTGGTGGGAATAAAGCACTTCAGCTCTTCCAGTGCTGCCCTTTCTTCTTGCACACTATCTTTTATCAGTTTTTGGGTGAAATATTAATGAATATTAAAGCAAGGCAGTAGGTTTTATTATCTGTTTGCTCTCCAGGCCTATTTTATGAAGTCAGACAGGTATTATACAATATCCGAAGAGACAGAAACTTAGAAAAGCTGGCTGCATGCCTTGTGTTTGCACTGAGAACCTGCATGAATGATTCCCCTATTGAATTTTCATTCCTATAGAAAAACCCTGTTTATCTGACTCATTTGACCAGAAACACCATCCCTAGCAAAGCCAGAGATGCACATAACTTGTATTACATTGATACAGCAATCTTTGAATGTTCCTTGTGTCCATTTGTCAGAGGAGACAGTTTAATGTGATAACTGGAACAATGAAGGTTAATGTCTAAACTTTTATACTTCTCTTTTCAGAGGTGTAATTTGTACACACATATTTCACCCAAGCCTTGGTAGCTGTAAATAGATATATGGAGGTAAAAAAAAAGGACATGATTAGTTACTGAATTTTTTGCAGCTCAACAGAGCTATGAATTAGCCTATGATTTGTACCTCCACTCATTTGCAAAAGTAAAAGGGTATTGGCTTAGCAATTAAATTAGTTATTTTTCCCTTTGAAAGAATGAAAGACTTCAGCAAACGAAGCCCTGAAACTTTCATTCTCACGTGCTCTGTCCACAGTTCTTAGCAAGTTTCGTAATGGCTTTTATCAGCATTAGTGCTACCTGTCATAACTACATAATTACAGCACTTAATTATATTATTACTTATTTACCCTAGTTATGTAATTGGATGTAATTGTGCAATTATGTAACTCCTCAGTCAGCTGAAAAATGCTCTAAAACCAGCCTATGCTCCTAAGAGTAAAGGATACTGCGGTGAATTGGACATCTCTCTAAAGCAAGGCAATCTTTGCTGGGAAATTACAGGTTCTTTTCTCCATTATGGTCATTGGGACCATGAACCTTTTATTCCCATCAATGTGGCAGGGAGGAAGCAGTACAGATA